ATATGGTAATTGAATACCGATGATAATACGGTCCATCGTTCATTAGTTATTAATGTAATGTTATAATTTAATAACAGAAGTTTGTATTACTACTGTGTGTTACATTCCAATATTGTAACGTGCGTATTGTGCTTATACATTGCTACAGTTTAGACATCTCCAGGGGAAAGATGAATATATGGTAATTGAATACCTATGGTAATACGGTCCAACGTTCATTTGTTATTAATGTCACAAGGTTACTGTTAACGTTGAGGAAATATAATGAACTGTCAAACAAAGCGTAATACAATACTGACTAGTCGTATATATTTTATAGGCAGATTAATATATGGGAGATTATTTTCTATTCACTCGCGTAAACAGATTTAAGGCCATCGATGGGTTTCAATCATTAAACTTTCTTAACACTATACGATGCAATACAAAATACATATTGTATGCAGAAACATGCGTGAAGTATTATTCTACCATCATTAATTTTTTTGTTGATAGACAGCTAAACAATTCCGGTTATATGCAACTAATATAACATATAGTACAAACTCAATACAAGATTTCGCCTGTCAGATTGTATTGACAAGCCATCCAAGTACGTTTTGTGTAATATGTACAATGCACAGTAACTCAGATGAAAAAGAAATTTGAATTGAACACAAGCATACACTTCATCAACAGCATAAAGTAGAGCATTTTAATGGTTCTCAAACAAGGTCTGAATCTCTACTCTTAGCAAAGGCAATAAGAACAACATGAATGTGTTTTCGTTTCTACTAATACGGGGTTCCACACTTTCCTCTACAACTATGGTGTTCAGTATTAAATGCGTGTACAATACTTAGTACAGTATTCATGGTCGATTTTATATTAACGAGTGTAATTGTACGTACGTACCCCCTATTTTATTCGAGTAAGACTAATTTAGGAATGATTGGTGTTCTTATGGGGAGCCGTTTGTGCATTTATTGATATAAGAAAATTAAAGGAAGCTATTTTTAAGAAAATCTGCTACAGTAACTTTGTGGAGCTATCAACAGAGATACTATATGCTAAATTGCATGTCAAACAAGCGGGTAGTTTTTAGCAAAATGATTTTTTCAGTGTTTTTACATTTTTTGGATAAATTCAAAATGGCCACCAAAACCACTTGAATCATGGGAAATATTTTCATGAAAACATAATCATCGCATTGAACGGATGTTGTATGCCAACTTTGGTTTCAATCTGGCAAATTATTCATGAGTTATAGCGTAATTTCACTTTTTACTAAATCCGAGATGGCTGCCAAAGAAAGCCATTTTTTTCAAAAATCGGCTTCAGTAACTTTGTAGAGCTATGGACATAGGTGCTTCAAAGCAAATTTCTAAGCACATGAATGAGCCATTTTTAAGAAGAAGATTTTTAAAGTTTTTGGTCATTTTCAGTAAATCCAATATAGCGGCCAACGTCACATGACCGCTAAAGATGTTATTGATGATATTTGCTGGACATGAGCCAATGAT